TTCCTTTTCCCATACTTTGAACCCCTATCGTGTTTTTTTTTCATTATTGCTTTTTGTAGCTTTCTGACCCGCCCCAATTGGACATCTGTGAAAAAGAGCTTTATAGCTCATCGGATTCAGTAAAGATTTTGATTCTGTATCCATGCAGCCGTGCCACTCGGCACGTCGCCAGCGCGTGTGGATGTCGTAGATTCCGCGTTTCTCAATGCCCCCTGTTTGTGGGTGTGTGTGTGCTCAGCTGCCACACGTCCCATAGGGCCACCGGGTTAAAGTGTCACTGCGAGCGGCGTGTGGCCAAAAAGTGGCTTCTCAATCATTGATTCCGGAATTCGTCACCAATTGTTCCTTTTTCAATATTCCTCCAGTTCAATGTGAAAGAGTGTTTTTTTTCTTTCAAAGTGGAGCCGCTGAGATCCTGGTTTTGAATCTGGGTTTCATCCCTCTGATTAAATCAGATTCTCAAACGTAACGAGTTGATTTTCTCAGAACTTAATTTGGCTACATTCCAGCTCTGAGAATGAACTATATCAGTTTGTCATGCAATACACGATGCTCTCTTTGCCAGGCAGTGGGAGGGTGCTGGCCGCTATGTGCCACTGAAGTGACTCCAGAGGTAGCTGCGTGATATCTGCTTCTCGGGCAATTCTCTCACATGAAGGGTTGCACTGCTCTGAGATCAAAGTGGCCACTTCGACTCGTGACATAACACGGATAGCACAATCAGGATAGAATTGTGGAGAATGACAAGAAGCTAAATGCAATGTATTTGAATATGTATTCTAATATACGTAATATTCAGCCCTTTTAACCATAACATAATCAAAATATTGTGTTTACACTGGAGGAATCCGATAAGCTATAAAGCTCTTTGTTACAGATGTCCAGTCGGGGCGGGTAAGAACGTTACAACATGTGAGTTGATCATGTGGGTTGTTTGACCATACTTCACCACGCTGGTCAGTGCAGGTTGTTGAAGGGCAGGAGAGCCAGAACTTATTCTTCTTTCGTATGGCTGATGTAGATGCAGAGCAACGACTACAATTTCAAAGTTTAGGTGGTCAAGCCAGACAACTGTATCAGGAGCAGCAGGAGTATATCGCTGTGATGTCTCTTTCGTATTCGTGGATGGGGCATCGCGTCGTTATATGGCATACGGCCAGTTCTGGATGACCACAGTTGCACACGTCATAGAGTTTAACATTTTCCGTTTGTGCATCAGGAATCCGCATCTGCCATTATTTGTGCGGATGAGGTTTAGAGTGGACCATGAGCTTCGTGGAAGATCAAAACCGGGGATCATCTGTTGGGTCTTTCACAACGAGGTGTTTAATAATAAGGTTTTTCTCCTTTTCTGGCAACAAAACTTAACCCTTTAAACAAGGATTCATCTCTGAATTAACCACAATACTTGCTAGTCAAAATACAAACAAATAACATACTATGATAATATATGCATTGTCCTTGAAACTGATTGGTCCACACCGGGGACGGCTTTCTCTTGAGCCTCGACGCATTTTGGCATCCTCTGGTCGAGCACCAATTGGTGTCGAGGCTCAAAAGAAAGCCGTCCCTGGTGTGGACCAATCAGTTTCAAGGACAATGCCAATATATTATCATAGTATGTTTTTTGTTTGCATTTTGACTGCAAGTAATTTGGTTAATACAGACATGAATCCTTGTAAAAAAAGGTTTCAGTTTTGTTGGCAGAAAAAATGGGGAAAACCCTTTTAATCTTATATTTTGGTACTGGCAAAGGAGGTCTAATAACGAGATGTTTGTTTTGAACACCATTCAGATTTCCAAAGCTTCGTCGGAGCTGAATTCACTAAAGGCCAGAACTGGTTCCTATTTGTAATTGAATGTTCTCCAAAAAAAAGGCTCACTTGACATCCTTTAACTTTCTTACTGGGGGTAAGAAGAAAATGAATGATTTTTCACGAAGAGTTATTTTTAACGTGCACCTGTGTAAAGTTGAACGTCACATTTATCAACTGCGGGTTTAGCACCGCCCGTGGAGAACATTCAATGTGTTCCAATACATTGTTGTAAACATTGTGAGAATTTTCGGAAACATTCTTTCCCACAGGAAGCTGGCTGTGGCTGAATTATTTATAAAAAAAAATTGCTGAACGCGAACAATAGGGTGGGTGGCGGTGGCTCAGGGTGCACGGGAAGTCACGTGAGCGTAGGGTGACCCATGGGGATGGCGTTTTGTGGGAGCGTTGGGAGAGGGAAGGGTCAAAGTCTGGTCGCTAATTCGCACACACGCCAAGCGCAGCAGCACCAGCAGGCGCGCATGCTGGAGGTGACTCAAGCCCTCATAAAGACACGCGCAGACTGTGGGTCGTGACTCCCTGCACATCCACGTTTTTCAAAGGGACACTGTATACGGCATCCTGCTCTGAGTGTGATGTAGCCATGACCGCCGTAGCAACTGCTGCCGAGAGCAAACAGAATATTTTTTTTCTCTCGACAAATTAAATAAGTAATATTAAAAAACAATTTAAACACGCTTTTATGAAATTTACTAGACGACTCCAGGAAGTGGCCCCGAAGCTTGCCATAACGTTAAGGGACCGTGGCCAATTACAGCCAACGTCAGTTGAGCGTGGACAATTAGACCCAAGCCGAAACATAACATATAAAAAAGAATGTTTAAAAATATATTTTTATTTTTTATGATAGAATATAGTATTGTCATTTGTATGGCATAAGTATACCAAGTTTGCAGTCGATACCACATTGGGAAGTGGGTTAAAACTGAGTTACAAGATTTGAGCATACAACAACGACAACAACAACCGTAAGAACCATGAATATGAATCCCTGCAGTCACGAAAGCTTAAAATCGACAAATAGAAGCAACAGACAGAGTGAGTTAAAAGAAAGCGTGCAAAAAGGAAGAAGATGTGCAGCCTCCATGGCTCGCAACCATCGCTATCGGAAAGGCCTCCGTGAAAGGAAAGCTCTAGAGTTCCTCTGTAGAGTATTTGGCCTACTCTTCCACGCTATCCAGATGTCCTGAAAGATGTGAGAGTACCCTACAGTTTACCCCACCACTTGTAACCAGCCGATCGACAAACTGTGGTGCGCAATCTTGATTTGAAGCTTTCAGTGACTGCAGGAACTCATACTCTTTGGTTCTTTCGGTAAAGTCACGTAGGTCAAAACAATAACAGATCACGACGTTTCCATCGCAACGCAAGCAATCGTCATCAGGCGGAAGACGATTGCTTGCGTTGCTATCGAAACGTCGCGATCTATTCTTTTTTCTACCTACGTGACTTTTACCGAAACAACCAACGAGTGTGGTGTCCAAATTCATACTGCAGGTTTGGACAGACGCGGTTTGGGGGGGGGGGCGGGTTAAGAAATTTGCCCCAATGTTGCCCGTGCCGCGCCGGGAAATTGAACCAGCGACCTCTGGATTGCAAGTCTCATGCGCTGACCTGCTATACCACGGCAGATCATCCCCTGTTTGGGAAAACTGGTCTCGTGTATATGTTCTGCGATTAACCACAGCCGTCTATTTTACGGTTCATATATATGTGTTTTTGTTCGTTTTTATAATATCCCCGGAGCTGGTTCCACACCGTATTTTAATTTATTTTGCTCATTTCAAAATTCGCAGACAATTCTATTTTCTCAGCTCTATTGCATTACGAGATAGGCAACAATTATTTATTACAAGGAAATTAGCTTAGCTCAGCGGTGCAGATGCCCTCCCTGCACAAAGCATGTGGTCAATGTCACGTATCAATTAAATTAAGCAACAAAAAGAGCTTGTTTTTTGTATAATTCCTCTTCTTTAGAGTTACATATGAATGTATTATTGAAATAAAAATAACATTTTGAATGAAAATGAGGATGGAATCGGAGAATTCCCGATGGCTGGCTAAAAAATATATCCCTTCATTGCAAGAAGGTATACAAGCAGGTATCACTGTGATTTATTTTGGTCTTGCAGTGTTTGGACAGAAACTGTTAACAGTTCAGCCAGCTGGTGTGATCAGCTAAGCGTGAAATGTTGAAATCAGTTGACTCCCCCCCCACTAAGAGGGGTGGGTAAAAATGAAAAAAGTGTTTGTAAAGATTGGCATAATATAATGTAAATAACCAACACAACATTATGCTAATACAATCTCTCATGCGCATTTGCTGTTTGGTCACGCTGCGTTCATTAAATTAATGTTAAGGTCTCCCTTGAAGCGGTTGAACTCAAGGTGTTTTCTTCTTGAGTTTGTCGGGTAGAGAGAATTTCACGTGACAGGGCCCAGCCTAGTCGTGAGTCCGCTTGACAAGTGACCGTGTTGCAGATCGTTCGCAAACGTTGGCACGAGCCACAGAGTCGTGGGGTCTCCACGTGCAGTCGACCACGCTCGGGATAATAATAATAATAGTTCAATTTGTAACGCGCGCAAATTTGCAGACGTAGTGGCCGCAACTCAGAGGCGCGGAGCCAAGCTCAGAGTCGCTCTCAAGCATGATTGTAGAGGTGAGTTTTTAAGTGTCTCTTGAAGGAGGCGATTGAGGTGATGCTGCGAATGTGCAGAGGGATATCGTTCCAGACTGTTGGGGCTGCCACCGAGAAGCGGCGCGTAGACACGATGACCATCCTGGATCTTGGTATCAAGAGGAGGTCGTGAGTCGCGCTGCGCAGGCATCTGCCGTGTGCTGAGCTGCAAGTTGTCAATAATGAAGAAAGGTACGGCGGGCAGGCGGATATGAAGGCATCGTGGCAGAGGCAGGCGGTCTTGTATGTGACCCTACTGGCGATGGGGAGCCAGTTGAGAGCACGGTTGGGCCCCCCCCCCCCCGTTCCTCGTCTCTCCCACCGAGGGAGCAGACGATCGTGCCCCTTGACGTCAGCGGCCGTCGCTCCCACGGATCTCTTGCCCATTGGTTGGGGGGGGGGAGAAGCAGTTTGAGCCGCACGCCCACACCCACCCGCCTGGCGTTTAAATACCCCGCCCGGCAGAGCCCGAGGCAAGCCCCAAAACTCTGAACGATTGAGTGGTCCTCACTCTGAAATCCTCGTATAGACACAGTGCCGTGCATGAAGCGTGGAGTTTTCTTCTTCTTGTTGTTTTTTTTCCTCCTCCTCTCGTTTAAATTAACGGTTACAGCAACAACGACAACAACAACGCAAAAGTTGGTTCGACAACTTGGAAGAACAAGCTAGAGCAGACTGAAGTTGTGCAAACTATTAGCATTGTTTATTCTCAACGAACACCTGGTGGCGATCGACTAATTTGAGAGCCATGTGCAACACGAAAGTCACAGCTCCTGCCAGCTACCTGGAGAGGTAAACATCTCTGCTGCCGAACCAGCTGCACCACGACACCGTGATACATTGCACCGCTGTTTGGACATTGACCCTTCAATCCTTGCTAAGCGGTAATGAAACTCGACACATTTGTCACGTGGCCTTAATGAGAAGAAAAACATATATGGCAACGTTTCGAGCAATGACCCTTCTTCATAGCACAGGAAGACGGTTGAGCCTAATGCGCTATGAAGAAGGACAGTTGTCTGAAACGTCGGCAATAATATAGCTTTTCTCATGCCACAGTGTCATGATAAGCCACTTTGTTGAGCTGTTATTTGTGGCCAGGTGGCTTTTGAACAATAAGTTAATGCCTCGGTGGGCTTTGACTGGTAGGATGGGGATGGTTCAATATTGTTTGTTTATGTTTGGGTGATTTGTTTACTTTTCTTGTACTTTGCCTTCCCGTCGCGCTTTTGCACTGTTTGTTGTCATAACGTTCTAGCCCGCCCCGACTGGACATCTGTGACAAAGCTTTATAGCTTATCGGATTCCTTCAGTGTAAATACAATATTTAGATCATGTAACGGTTGGCGAATGTTGATGAATGCTGTTTCTTAATGGTGTTTGTGCGCCACTTGCCAACGCAGCGAAGCAAAGGTTGTTTCGTTAAGCGGCAAATAGCGTGCCACCAAATTGCATTGATGCGCTCGCGAAAGTGTCCCGAGTGTTGATGATGATGTTAAATACGTTGTTGGTGTTAAATTCAGGTGTGAGTCACCGCTGAGGAGGGGGCGTAGTTGGTCAGAATTTGACCGAATACATTGGCACATCCAATAAATGTTAAGCTTTGTCAACGAGACGCTGACGTTGAGTGATGAATGGTTACGTTCCCTATCGGCTATGGAAACCCTCTATGTTTTATGATCATGTACTGTAAAATAATTGTAAATAATAGTGTACAGAGAACGACAAAACACGTTTGTGCGTGACTTTAACGGTTATGTCGCTGTTATTGTAATTAATGTTCCGAAGCGAACTCAACAATTAGAAAATGATTGATGATTGTGTTTCGATAAGTAGATTTTAATTCCTGGTAATTATACATTGTTTGTATGAATGTATTTTCATTTGTAAATGCAACATTGTCAGCTTCATGTTAGCTGCTGAGCTAAAGGTGTTTTTTTTATTATCAGAATAATATTGCACTCTTAGAAAAGCCCCGCGTTACATTATCCGAGTTCAAATGTCATGTATAAGCAATACGTTAACTACAATGGCCAAATGTCGATCTATTGAACATTCACCATTGCCCAAACGCGTGCAATGGGTTGCCTGTGCATTCATAATCACAACGGGCGTCGCTCTTGGACTGGAACAAAATGTCCTGCTTGCTGCTCTGCCTGGTTAAGAGCAATGATAAAAGCTGTTCCCTGTTAGTCTCAGCGTCACCACGGGGCCCTTGGACAGGGCAGAGAGAATGCAGCAAAGGGGGGGGGGGGGTTCGAATCCGGCTCACGGCCAACACCGGCGACGATGATCTGAAGCGGTCCTGCGTCTCCCCTAGGTCGACTCAGCCTCAAATTAGTACCCGGTGCGGTGTATTAACATCACCGCTGGGGAGACAAAGGCGGCCGGGCGTGGTGCTGGCCACCCCCTCCTTGCGCCCTACGGCCCTTCCATAGGTGCCCCAACAGTCTGTGAAGGTTACACGGGGGGTCTTTGTCTTTGTTCGCTGGGTGAAGGGAGGTGAGGTCGGTGGGGGTGGTCTTGAGGGTGGTCCAAAAGAGAGAGAGAGGGGGGGTGCAGAGCAAAGTGAGGTGGAGCAGAGGATGCAAGGTATGCTGGGTTAGTCACGTCGGCCACATGACCTCCCTCCGTGTGTTCCTGTGCCTGCTTTTCATTATCACGGCTTGCGCAAGGAAGCTGCTGGGGAGGCAAGGGCGGGGTGGACGATGAACGTGTCCTGGGAGCGGGCACGGTTTCGGCTGTGGCCGGTGGAGGGGGAGGAGGAGGAGGAGGGATAACGTTGTGGGGTGGAGGGGGGGGTGCGAGGTGAATTATGACCAGGAAACGTGCCAAGGAAAAGTTGAAACCTAGGTCAGAAATCATTTTCATGCCAATTCCTCAACAACAACCCAAAAAAAAGGAGACGTGAAACGGTGAAGTAATGGGAGATGAAAAACAGAAATAAAACTGTTAAAGTATTTCACAGCGGGCTCTCGTTATAAATCAAGCTCAATCACTGGAATGGAAGAACAGATGGGATATTAAAAAAAATATATATATTTAAAAAAATATCCCCTGCAACTTTCTCCCGTCGTTTTTTCCCCCCATCACAACTGGAATTCACGAACTCGCTCAAAGCATTGGACCAGAGTCACTTTGCTCCGTTCTGCTCACTGCCCGCGGAACACGAACGTGGACGGGCGGTTTTTTTGCGTGACAGCAGTGTCCCAGGCCCAGTTCAAGTCACCATCAGCGATGATTTAATAAGTGTTCGGTGTTATAACTCGGCACCCCTTTCATCCGCGAGTTGCTTCGATGCGCCCCACTGCCGGGGAACACGAACGCAGACGAGCGTTTGACGGGCAGTGTGCCAGGCCCAGTTCGGTCACCACCAACAATGATTCACGACTGTGATATTTAATTAGCGTCCCAAAATGAAAAATTAGCCAAAAGTGATTTCCTGCTCAAATGAGCATTCAGACGGTCTTCGACTCCTGTTTACAGCCATGAGTCACTGGTGAAAATTCCACATGCTTATTGCGGAGGGTGGGAGCGGTTATATCTGCAGTGAACCCGTCGTTGACTTTCTCACAAAGTGGTATATATTTTATTGTCCCCAGAGGGATGATGGGCTGACTCAATCCCCAACCAGGATTTGAACTCGCAATTCTTGCAATCGCCAACTCTGCCGTTGAGCCACCTGGCCATGAGTTATTATTAACCAAGCGTCCTTTCATCTGAGATTGCCACGTAATTAAATAAGTGCGGAGATGTACAAAGCCAAGGCTGCGTCTTTTGTCCCTTCCATTTCTCGCTCATCCTTGTTTTTACACAACACGAGTGATGCCCGCGTTTATCACGCTTTTCGTTTACGTCACGCGCTATAAAAAATTGTTGTTTTCAAATTTCTTTTCCATTTTTTGTTATTCCATTCGCGTGGCATCCATTGATCTTATCATCCCGTAAGGATTAGAATCTCAAGGTCCGTAGGCTTGGGTCACGTGCATGGCATTCGATGTGGTTTATTTTCACTTGCGTTTCAACTGTGGCTAATGTAAATAGTTTTGAATCACAGCGAACTAAATAGGATCGTTTGAATTTTCCTTTTTTTTAATACATTAATTTAACTTTCACGTAAAATTAGAAATGCCACGTACTTCTTCATCTGCCAAGCCAAAAGCTGCATTTTTCACGGGATTTGTTTTTCTTCCACGAGCTTCTATTCTGTGACCCTTCTCTCATCGAATCCAACATACCCTCATGTCTTTATTTTACTGCATTTAGTCCATGGGCCAGAACAGATATCGGTACCTCCGAGGACAGCAGCGCATCATTTCTGCCAACTTAATGATGAGTTATTTTTTTTGCAAGTGGGTGGAAACTGGAGTACCTAGAGAATGCGCGAGGAGGCAACGCTCTATCCCCCGTACAGATGGAAATAGACGGCGATTATTCCACACTTGCTGTGTCGCCTTCCCCTGGCGAGCCAGGGTATAGCGCCTCCTCAACGCCCATGGGAAGGGAGTTTCACAACATTTGTGCGATCCGCCAAATTTATACTTTGAAGTGATCGAGACAAATACAAATGTAAGTTTACACAAAAATAAAACGCAACTAGTTGCGTGTAATTTTCCATAGTATTTTAGTTTATGGTGTACACATGTCACAACAGGTACTCATTACAGTGAGAGCATATGGAACATGACTTCATACGTCCATAATAGCCATCTTGATCTCACATCTGTTGCCAATTCAATTGTAAAAAAAAAAAATCTGAACAATAATGTTAACACGTGTAATATCCACGCCACCCCCCAGGACGAAAGGTGCTGTGTTCCACAGGTGGGTTGCTCTGCCAGTAGGCCTTGACGTTTCTGTGATGTCACGACGCCACGGTACATCCGCGACGAAACCCACGGCAGCAGCGGATGAGAGACCCGCGACTGTCGTTGATGTTTCATTGACGTAACGCTCACGATGCTCTTGATCGTTTGCAGAGCCAAGGAGATGAAGAGTCGGCTGGGCTTTCTACGGAGAAAACCCGTGACCCAAAACGAAGCTGATCACAACGGCAAATCAACTGCAGAGTAAGCCGTGCTCTCACTTGCACTCCCGCTTAGACTCGCGCGCCTGTTCCGTCCGCCACGTTAACGCAACGACGTCGTTCAGCCGCCTCCGTGTAGCCACTTTGAGCTCCAGGTCAAGCGTAGGGTGCAAGCGGCTTTGACAACGGCGAGAATGCAATTGCTCGGCAATATGTTCGAGACCGTTTCCATCAATCCGGTCTTTCGAACTGAGAGCGGTGTGCATCTATCTGTGCGTCCCTTAGCGCGTCCTAGTAGAGGAATCGCCACTCCCAAGACTGTCAAACGTAAGTATGACAGTCTTGAGAGTGTATCTGCAATGGGAGAGTCATTTGCAATGAGGGGGGGGGGCAAAATAAAATATTGTTCGTAATTCGCATTCATCCCAACGCGCTGTGAAACAGTTGACGATCCGGTGTTTCTTGGGATTATATTTGCTATTTTTTAAAATTAAAACCAGACACGTAATTTCTCTACTACCGTGCATATTCCATCCCTATCGTGCATCATGGTCCATCCTGCTATTGAAGCAAGGGTTACGATGTTTTATTTACCAAACATCAACTTCCTCTTTCCTGCCTTGCATGCTCCCATCGATTGTTATGACATCTTCAAATTTGATTCGTGTTGTTTGCGCAAGTCTGTTTCACGTCCTCACATCGCATAGTAATCATATATTTTAAACATTTCTCTCAGCATATAATCCTCCGGATCAACCCTTTGAGATGAAATATTCACGTGTCTGAAGGGGTGTCATCCGGAGGGGGGAGGGGGTGGGGGTTCGTGAAGCATGCCCCGTACTACACCTCACCATATAGAAATGCCTCGAAAGCTTACGTCACCTTCAATATATGCACGCACGCCTCCCATTGCTCACCACACCCCGCGGGGAAACGGCCACTTTGATTTGATTTGAACACGAAACGACACGAGGGAAAACGAGTCACGCTTCACTCTGTTGCTCATGTGCGGAGGATGACAAACAGGGGATGTGATTATAAGAGCCTGGGGAAGGAAGGTGGGGAGGGGAGAAGGCCCCCCCCCCCTTATTTAATTTAAGGCGAGCGACGCGAGGGGGTTATTTTGTAACACAGCATCCCCCCCCCTCCGATGTGGGACATCGTGGTCAATCGCGGTTAATCGCTGCGCGCCCACGCGTGGTGAGAGAGAGAGCGAGAAAGGCTGTTAATAACCCCATTGCCGTCGCAACGGACAGCAGCAATTTATTTTTGGCGTTTCCATCGGACGTCAATGATCACAAGTGCAATCAGAAATAGCGTGCGCTTCAAGCAGACGCAGAGAATACGGTGATTTCATTTAATTTTTTTGCTCGTGCTGTGTAACAAAAAATAAAAGCCCGTGGTAACTCGCGCGCGCGTGTGCGCAGGCACGCACACACGCACGTCTGGACGATTCCACACAGCCTGCTTGCTATTGTCAAGGACGTGTGTCTTAGCTTTGCTCTCCCGAGTAGGCACGAGAATTGTTTTTGGGGTCTCGCGCTCAGGGGCCGTAGAGTTAACCGCGTTCCGCTCGCGCTGCGTGGACATTCAATTGTCGAGGAGGGATTGCCCTGCCGCTTGCGATCCGTTTCACACAACAACGGTGCATTGGGCCCCCTGTTGAAATTGCGTGCGCCGCCAATTGACGCTGTCGCTTGTCTTTTTTTTTAAAGCCACGTTAGCTCAGCTTTGCGGTATTTTTATGTACATATATATACACATCTTCACGTGTGCACATGTTTACAGATTGCTTTGGTTTTACCTTGAGTCAATTGTAAAAAAAATTGCCGATTTTAATTTATCGCACGCACACCGCGAAATTCTATTTTATTTCGGCTTTGTATAGCGCCCTGGAAAGGGCGTTTTAAAAAGCGATGCTTTCAAATGGAAACGGAACCGTGGAATTGGTAAAAAATGCAATGGAATCGGTCAAATTTTCAATAAAAGTCGGCGCCACGTCCGAATTGGTGGAGGCAATATCAACGTGGCTTTTATAAGTCTTGCACCAGGAGGAAATGCTATTGCCATGGAGATCACAGTTGCCATGGATATGGCTATTAACCCCGCTGGACAGGTGTGACCAGAGCATTGCCGCTTGACTCACTTTCCCATCGTCGGTGCAGCCACATTGCAGCACTTCAACCCAGCTTATTGCAATTATGAGATGCCTTTCAAAATCGGGCCACGTAAATTTCGATTTAAAGCTTTCGTGACTGCAGGGATTCATCTTCTTGGTTCTTTCGGTAAAGTTACGTAGAAGGGAAATATTAAAATAATAAAAATAAAACATAATAAAATAATTCTCACGCAAGCAGCCGTCATCGGCCACAACGCAAGCAGAGGACGGCTGCTTGCGTTGTGGCCGAAACGTCGTGAGAATTATTTTATTATGTTTTATTATTTATTATTTTATTATTTCCCTTCTACATGACTTTATCGAAAGAACCAAGAAGAATCGGGCCACGGTTAAAGTTGTCCGTAAAAATGTCCCTCATTCCACAAACAAAGGTACCAACGTAGGGCATCGTGTAAAGACAAATTAAGTAATTTTATTTCAGATTCTTCCCGAACAGTATTCCCCATATCTGGACATTCACATACAGGATTTCACGGACACGAAATACAGTATATATATGCAGTCGTTCGCTCCGCACATTTATCTATTTGTTTACTTGATCGTCGCTTCGATCTGTTACTACAGAGGGCTTGACTGCAAATCGCACCACGACAATGACGTCTCTGCGAGCTGCAATTGGCCGCGATTGCAATTGAGAGGCGCCCAGCCGACGGGAGGGGAGAAAGGGCAGCGATAGTTTGAAAAGCGGCGATCAGCCGATATTATCGCGGAACGACGACGCCGGGTTTTTTTTCTGCGTGCGCGTATATTTTAGCGAACGGTGCACGTGTCCGCGCACTCCATATTATACATTTTTTTGTGTGCATCTGTCGAGGGGACGGCTCCATTCTCCGCCGACTCCCCGTCAGCTGCCGCTCGCATGCAGAAGGGTTGGAATGATTAGACCCGGCATTCAGACAATCGGTGTAGCGGGGTGAGAGAGAGAGAGAGAGAAAGCGGGAGAGGGGCGAGCGAGAGAGAGGGAGAGAGCGTAACGCCGAGCGGCGAATGTGGACAGCGGTGTCCTCGGGAGTGGTTGCGTGTCGCCGCGCGTGATGGCTCGCCTTCATCTGAGTGCCGTGTGCCTACTCGCTCACGCGCCTCCCTCCTCTCCCCCTCGTCCCGTGCACAGGCCCAGCCAGGACGAGGCGCATGCTTGGGCCGAGTCGTTGGACAAACTCCTCGTGCACAAATGTAAGTTGGCCGGCGAGGGTTGGTTTCTCCGACGTCCGCTCTCACACTTGGTCGAGAACGGTGGGGGATTCGAATAAGTTACGAAGTTCGCGCCACACTCGGAATGTTCGAGCGCATTGTAATCTTATGTTGGAAAGAGGAATTTAAGGAACTTTCGCGGGTGAATGACGCTGTTGCAACTGTTACCAAAGAGCAAATGGGATTGGGCAGGACACCCCGTGCATGGATATTAGGAACGATGGCCGATGGTCAAGACAAGGGATGGAGTGGCAGCTAAGGAATGGATCGCATCAGGGAGGGCGTCGGCTAACGATTAGCACGGTTGGCTGCGTTTGGTGCGAAAGAAGCTCAACAGACATACGTACAGATAGCAGAGGGGTGCCTTGGTCCAGTAGGGGATTGACCATGGCTGCTGCTGCTGATGACGATTGTTATCGTGTATTTGTTCAAGAGTTTAACTCGCTTGGCGTTTCAGAGATAATCCGGCTTTTAACGAACGGATGCGATGAATCGAAAGACCGCACTTAATGTGTTCTTGTTCATTTGCAGATGGGCTGGCCGCATTCCAAGCATTTCTACGAACAGAGTTCAGCGAGGAAAACATTAACTTCTGGCTGGCCTGCGAGGACTACAAAAAAACAAAGTCTGCTTCCAAGCTCACCAGCAAGGCACGCAAGATCTTCTCCGAATACATCGCAATCCAGTCTCCAAACGAGGTGAACGAACGGAAACTAAAACCACCACGAGGCACGATGTCCTCGCGACGCGGAATATTCTCGGCATGATTTTACCCCTTCTTGTTTGAAGCTGAATGTGCATGCATGCGATGGGGGCGGATGGCGGGATGAATAAGAAAATAAGTAATGAAATCTTGACGTTAAAGCTTTCATGACCGCAGGGATTCATATTCTTTGGGTTTTTCGGTAAAGCCACGTAGACATGGCTTGTACGTGGCTTTAAGAATAAAGTAATGACATATTTTTTTGTACTTCTTAAGACTGAGTAGCGGAATGTGAAGGTCGAGCGAGAAAGCCTTTGATCAGGCGCCATCTGCCCTGTGTAGAAAAACCTGTGGCCACACGGGGGCCGGGCCACCCACCCTACCCCACACCCACCCCACACCCACCCCTCCACCCCATCGTCGATCAGCACCCACTTGTGTGGCGCGCATTGAAATTGTTGGGGGGGGGGGGGAGATGCCTTTGTCAACGTTTCGTTCGAGAAAGACACCGAAAGAGACCCCCACCTTCAGACTCGTCGGCCCGATTTCAGATTTTACCCTCGGATTAAAAGTGTATGAGATTTTCGTGACTGTAACTGGTTACGCTCTGAATTGCATCACCGTAAAAATGTTCGGTGTCAATAATCGAATTGTATATTTTTTTGACGTAAAGTTCCATCAATGTAATATAATAATTATTTAAATGTAAACGTTTTTGTTCTATTTCAATTATTTAAGCAACATAATGTCGGGCGATGGTACTTTTGGCAGGAAAAGCACAGAAGTGACATCACATTTTTAAATCGATGCACAATGTAAAAATAACATGCAGTCGGATAGTCCAAAATTAAGTGGCTTAGGCCTGATTTTTAAAATTTCATTTCATATTGGTCCAAAGATTGGGAACATATCCCATATATATACGACGGATGTGCTCCCGATTTTCTGTTTCATCCAAAAAATTCTAAACTCAGGAAATTCAACATTTCGGACAATCACATTTTCTCTTTGTTTCGTATTGATCGTCATTATTATTCGCACGAAGATCTGAAAATCCCTCCACAATGGCAAATTGTCCTTAAAACTTCAAAATCAGGTTTATTTTTCTGTTTTTTAATCCAAAAAACTCATCGCTAATCTATAAACAACACCTCCGATTTTAAGCACGGTTGGCTACGTACGGCGTGAAAGAAGTTCAACATACACACAGTTGAAAGCAGCCGCACGATCCATCCAGTTGTTTACAGCGGGAGACCCGGGGGGAGAGCGCGAGGCTCGTTTGACATTTAAAGGAACGAGAGTATTAACGACGATTGAAACGTTCTGTGCCGTCGCCGCAGGTGAACCTGGACTCGTGCACGCGAGAGCTGACGGCCGCCAACCTCGTCAAGCCCACGGCGGACGCGTTCGACGTGGCCCAGAAGCGAATCTTTGGACTCATGGAGAAGGACTCTTACCCTCGCTTCCTCCGCTCGCAGCTCTACCTGGATCTGACTAAATGAGGCACACGTCACAGCCTGAGCATATACTTTTTTTACGCTACAGCAACAACAAGAATGAGAATCGAAACGGCGGTAGATTTTACCGGAAGCAAAATTTTAAACCGATTCTCCGCTCGAGCGACGGCAGACGATCGCTGCGTTTCGGTTGTATCCGAAGGCTGCGAGAGAAACGGGTTGCGACGCAATTTCGAGAGGTTAGAAGGTGGTGGGCAGGGTGATATATTTGAGTTAAATTAAGCAGGGAAGCATTTACCTATATCCTGCTATTGCTCCTATTCATTTCCGATACCGCCCTGTTCCGTAGAATGTGCCGGTTACCAGTCGCCGTCTGTGGTCAGTGCCTCACTTTTTTGCGCACTTCACTGGCCTGCAGTCGTAATTTTATTGACAAAAGGCACAACTTTTGTCGGACAATCGATGGCACGGCACTTCACACGATTCCTTTTCTCAGGAAGAAAGAACGAATGAATGAACGTCTTTAACGGTGGAACTGCGCAGAGGCGAAGTGTTCTTACATGGGACGACAGTGCAGGATTCCTTTTTAAAGTTTATTTTTATTTTTTAAACGCCATTTCGTATTGCGTTTGTACTTCAAGCATCGTTCTTAGATCAGAAGATTGATGTTCGATGCATTTTCGTGAGCTAATTCTATTTTGGTTCAACACGTAGGCTTTCGCGACCAATATTATTCATAATAGTGTTTTGGGGTTATATCGCGTAAGTAAATCCACAAAATTAACAATTTGAAAAATGTTGTGGATTTATCCTCCAACACACCGGTGGGCTAAAGTAGTAACTAATTGGCGCGTTGTTCACGTGACAAACCTTGCTGGCTGTGTCGGGTGGTGGAGGGCTACGACACATGTATACTTACGCAATCTAACCCAAAAAACTTTATTACGAATAGTTTTATTTTATTTTCACTTCCTTTCTATGTTACGTCAACGGTATGCTTGTTACGCATTTAAGCCGAAGCAAAGTGCCGATTCACGCTTTTGAAACCCCAGCGGGTTCCCACCAAACCTGCAGCCCACACAGGCCGTGGGACGACGCGGCGTCGTGGAATTGTTGCGGACACTTTCCTCTTCCGTGAAAACACCTCGTTTTTTTTTACTTACTGCACGGTGGTCCACGAAAAAAAAACTTATGAGGGTTGATAGCGGGACCCTGCAGGCCCGGAAAGGTTGGGAACGACCGCATCGAAACGATGTATCCTGCGATAAGGGTTGACGGATGCGTGAGTGTTCGTCTTGGCTGAGGACAGAAGCAGTCTGGAACTGTTTTGTATTTATTACGGTGCGTGATGGATGTGTTCGTCTTTGTGGTACTATGAGTTTTGAGGACAAAAAAAATGCGTCGCTTCTCTGTTGATGTGAACGTGCACATTTTCTATTTTTACGTGGAGACTTTCGAATCCCTGCCGTAAACGATGACGAAAAATCGGTCGCTTGTGTGCAATTTAAATTTAAAAGTAGAACAACAGCGTAGATCGATGAAGTTTAAACGCTCAATCTTAAGGCATATTTTCACGGTTGTATTATAACTTCGGCAAAGAGGCAAATGCTTTATAATAAGAACCATATTTGTACAGTAAGTGCAATATAATAAAGAAGTAACTTTTTTTTTACATTGACGGTAACTTTTGAATTTGTGTTTTATTTCTTTCCCTTTACAAGAATTTTGGAAAGTTATATTTGAAATGGGGAAAAAATGTGTACATCCGTAATAAGCTCTTGACAATGTCAATATTGTACTGAAAACAATCTTAGAATGTTTTCCTTAAAGGTGGGTATAAATGAATGTCCTGAAATTCTTTATCGGGCACTTTGAGTACCTGTGTGGAAAGGTGCGTTATAAATGTAATTTATCGTCACACCTAAACCACACATAATCGAGGCAATTGTTTATCAATTTCCTTGCCATACATTTCATCTAAAAAAATCAACCTTAAAAACAGTAACAGCCAGAATTTGTTTGAATATTTAGACGCCCGAGTACATATGTGCATTCGTGTATGACATTATTTTCGTGGGCATACACCACAGTAATTGTTTATTTAGCCGTGAACAACTGGGCTTGAGGGTGACCTGCCCAAGCACAGTAGTAGTTGTGTAGAATTTTGTAGCGACGTAGCTTTTTGATCTGGTACGCAGTTGTCCGGGGCTGAGTTCTACATTGACTTACATTGTGTGGGCGGGGAGGGGGGGGGGGCAGGGGAGGGATGGGTGGTAGGGGTTAGGGGGGGGGCACTAAAAATATTCCATGAGAAATTAAGGATTGAGTAAAGGATTTGCTAATTCTCCAAATACAGGTGTGACTCGTGAAGAGCAAATGCTAAGAAATAATTTGATTTGGTTTCCAAAGGGGTCCTCTTGGGGAATTAATTGGAAAATGCCAAAGTCAGATTCACTATCTGTGCTGGCTGCAGAGTTGTCTTGGCATTTTCTCAACTTTTTTTTCATTTTGTATGTATTTTGAAGTTCTTTCGCACCGTACGTAGCCAACCGTGCTAATTGGAGGTGCGAATTTAACTGATGTCCTTGAATTTACCATCAGTGTTAATATTTTACCGTGTCTTTTTTTTTCTTCCCATATCAACTTGTTTGACGTACACGGCGTGTGTTGTGTAAATAATTGGCACAATTCCCTCTCTGTGCACATGCTAGTCATGGTCCATGTAAGGTTGTGAAGCCACTGTGTTTCTGGTGACAATCGCATCTATGTCCGCTTACTTTTCAAGCAAGAATAAACTTTTAAACAAATACTTTGAAGTGTTTCCATGCGCACATTTTTGTTGTTCCGAACCACATGTCGAAGTACGCCATAAAATTGAGACGATGTAAGCCAGTTCAATGACTCTAGATTTTGAAGCTTTCGTGACTGCAAGGATTCATATTCTTAGGTTTTTTCAGTAAAGTCACGTAGGTAAAAAATTATAATTAATCAAAGTAAAATAAAAAATAAAATAAAAATCACGATAGCTGTCGTGCTCTAGATTTGAAGCTTGATACAGCAATCGTGCTGTGACGGTTCCACCTGAAGACGGAAGCTTGTGTTGCCTCCGAAACGTCGTGATTTTTATTTTATTTTTATTTTACTTTTATTAATTTTAATTAAAAAATTTACCTACGTGACTTTACCGAAAAAACCTAAGAATATAAAGTTCAATGACCTCATACCCTCTGGGTCTTTCGGTAAAGTCACGTAGATAGAAAAATAAAAAATCACGACGTTTCGATCGCAACACAAGCAATCGTCTTCAGGTAAAGAACAAAAAAATACAGCAGGCGAAAAAATACAGCAGACAGCAGGCGAACTTCTGAGGCATGAGAAATATATATACATTTATTTGTTTTTCACCTGAACACGATTGCTTGAGTTGCGATCGAAACGTCGTGATTTATTATTATTTTATTATATTTTTCTATCTACGTGACTCTACCGAAAGACCCAAAGACTATGAATTCCTGCAGTCACGAAAGTTTTTTAAGTCAAGATTTAATGACCTCATTCAAACAAAATTGGATTGTGCAGGACACGTCACGACCAATAAGGGATTATGACCGACGGGCAAGAATCGTGACAGGAATGGCTCAGGAATGGAACGCCAGAGAAGAGGAGATGGAGCAATGAAATCGGCTCGTGTGCAGTTGCCAGACGCGCTGTTCAATCTCAGAACCACGAGTGATGGGTGACGACTCATGAGGGGAGGCCTTCACTCAGCAGTCGATAGATCATAGCTGACGATGATGACTTCAAAAGTGTGCTTGGAGTAAAACAAAAATTTTTACCCGGAATGCTCTACGTTTATCAAGGTTTATCAACTAAAAAGTTATAAATAATCAAGTCTATTGTCTCTAGCCGGGAACAAGATGTGCACACATCTGTATTGACACAAGCGGCTCTGCTAAAGAATTGCAAATGCGCATTTTCACTCAGGATAAATTATCCGCCGAATCCATCATAACATTTTACATCCCCTTTTGTGCCTCGGAACAAATGTGTGCGGGTTTTTAGCTCTCGCCTGTGCACGTAAACATCTGCCCGTGGCCAATTCTCGTTTGAAGGCATTATGTGGGGCGTGGGGATGTGGGTGGGTGGGATTATTTTCCTCGTTTCGCTTGGCCGTATGACAATCCTCGTTGTTGACTTCACGAACATCAATCATCAATCTCGGGGTCAACATTTTCCAAGGAAACGTTTCTTCGGGCCACCGATGCCGTTTGCTAAACGACAATTCAACGAAAGCTAAATGAGCACAACACGTTTCACAGGTTAGTAGTAGGACGTTCCCGTGACGGTTTTCGGGGTGCGCGTTAAATGTAAGCCGCCTTGCTTGCAATGCTCTCTGTCCCTCGCCTGCTTAGCATTCGCCTCCATTCAATCTCGCCACTCGGAGAGACGCCGAGGAAAAGAAGGCACCAAGAGCCTCTCCCGGCACATGACGGCTCAACTCAATTGTTACCATGGCCACAGCGTTGAGGATACACCAAGTCCCAGCCTTTGGTCACCAGGCAACGGGTAATCGGATTTACATGATGCGGGTTTTATGTGCCCCCCCCTCCCCAAAACCCCCCTCTTTTGTAATTGCAATCGTAGGTGCACAGTTGAGAGAGAACACGTACAGGTGTTTTATTTATTTTTATTTCTACATTCGAGCATGGGAAAATATATATTTACGTGATTTAGTGTTTTATTTATATATGTACAGAATATGGGTTGTATGATCCACCTTAAAATTGCAATTTGTAGCTACATATTTGAGAGATAACACATGCAGGTATTATTTTTTTACTTCTACATTTGAGCATGGAGACATATTTAGTTTTTTATTGAGGTATATGTTGTATTTTCGACAACGAGTAGTCCAGGCGAGAGCTGAACCCAGGATGGTTTGTGGGCCACCTGGGCATTGACTTGCGTTGCAATGGGAGTTGCCATCTGGGTGACGGTAGCAGATCAATGCATGGAATTAGGCAGAGTAGACACCAACCAGAGAGAGGTTGAAAAACAAAAGGAAGGAAAGGCAAAGAGTGATGGTCAGACAAGACGAGATAATGTGGGTCAATGTGTGTGATTTAGTTTTAGAAAAACATGTGTTTGGTTTAGTATAGTAACCGATGATTAAATACACTACGTAGATCTTATGTGAGTGTCTCCGATTAAATACACTACGTAGATCTTATGTGAGTGTCTCCCTATGCATGTCTGTTTGTGTGTAAGTATGCATGCATGCGAGCAGTATTCACTGCACATTTAACCGCACTTGCGAAAATTATTCAATAATTGTGCAATTATCCTGAAGAGAGATGCTTTGATTCGGTTAAGAAGGCTTGCTGGGATGACAACATTTAAAATTGAAACACTTCTCAGAGTTGGAGTCAATTGAAATGGAGACAAAATTGCAATTCTCACGCCATATCTAGAAAAACAAACCCATCACATTTATTGGAATTAAAATGTAACGAAACAAGTGGCAAACTGATCGTGCCTCACTCATACAAGAGATGCAATGGGTTTTTTTTTCATTCAAGGGACAATATTAGATGGCGATTCGGTCACAGATCACTCTCGCACGACGACAAGAGTTTATTCCTGGCTACTGGTGCCAGCGTGACGCGCGCGACAAAGTCGTCTTCTCAGATGCGTCCTTTCAATGCTTCGCGAACGCACGCATGAGATAATTTTGCACGCACGCATTCACTTCTCTCTCGCCGCTAGCTCAGTCAGTTCTGTCGCGCGGGTGGTGTTGGGAGTGGTTGCTAGCCGTCACAATTGTTCCAGCATTACCAAATTGAACTCTTTGAGAAACCGGGACAAACAATGAACTTTTGACAGAGCCCAAGGCTGATTCACCGCCGTCAAAACAATAAGCGGGCAGTCTCTCCACAGTCACCAGGTGACCTCATATCCCAACGGGTCCCCTTTTTGTCTTCTTCTTTCCATTTGAATGGGTGACACGACGCGTTCAAAGCAGGCCACGTGCAGTCATTGTTCATTTTGTGTCTCCAAGCCGGGGGCCAGCGTGACATTGATACATCACATTGTGGGCACTCTAACACTTGTTTTGGGTTTTTTTTTTCCAGCGGTCGTGCTGTGCGGGCTCTCCGACGGTGTCTGTTTGTCGGGCTGTTCGTAGCGTTTCGCTCCACGCGCTGGCAGCTTCTTTGGCAACCCAAATGAGAACATTGTAGCTGTAAGTGCCCAATAACGGGCGATACAACCTGAAGAGCCATATCGTGGAAAACCACTGAACTCAAACACACATTTTCTGAGCAGACGCGGTCTCATTGTGACGGGCTAATGCGCGTGCCACGTTGTTTTGGCCTGACGAATGTGGACATTTGTAGCTTTTTTTAAGTTGAAAATAGTCCAAAGTCTTGTGGAAACGTTAAAGCTAGTTGAGCCGTGGAAACTAATACTCGGTTCCAAGGAAGGTCAATGTTTGTCATAATTCAAGATCTAGATTAAATGTAGTTTTTACAATGGCCAGACAAAAAATATGCATTCCTTAAATTCCCACGTGCTGTTTTTAATTGCCGGCGTATGTTGGCCTGAATATTATTAAAGCATTTTTTTTACATTTCGTGTGCGTGCGCGATGCATATTTGGTTACAATGTTGCTGACATGATTTATTAGTTTGGAGGGTATCACAACAAACGCGTTTGTATAATATTACGCCAAACGACCACCGGTAGGACCACCTCCTTCGGCAATGTTTTCGCTGCAAAATAAATGCCTTTGACAAAAAAAAAGAATTTGCACCGGACCATCACGTTACACACACACACACACACAAAAAAGAACCGAGGTCTAAAGATAAGCAAACCCGGCACGCAGCGTCCGTTTAAGTTCGCAATACGGCCAGGCAGTTGGTGGAGCAATTGTTGGCTTCGAGCCCCTGGTACGAGGATTGAAATGGGATCCCCTCCCCTCTCTCTCCCCCCGCCTTCCTCCTTTCCTTGGTAGCCCCCCCCCCCCCCCCACTACCACCACCACCACCTCCGGATCGTGGACCTCAATGCAGGTGGCATTGCCTGCACACTCAAAAGCGACGCCGCTGTGAACGTCTACAAGTGGAAGTCTATGGGTCTCTGTGTAAGTCCGGTGGCAATGGCGTGGTTGAGCCCCTGGCGCAATTAAAATCTCGCCACCAGGAATCCACGGTGGCGAGATGTTAACTACCTCGCCTGATATACAGGAGGTCGTGAATTCGACCCTGACGCCTGATGTATATTTGGAGTTTTCATGTTCACTCTCCCCGTGGTCACGTGGATTTTTCTCTGGGCCCTCCGGATTTTCCCTCCCCATTTATAAACATGCGCTTGGAGTACTTGGCTGCTAAAAATTTCCACGTAAACCACTTCATTGAACTATCATTTGTGGCCACGTCGCTTCTGAATAAGAGCTACATAGTTCAGTCGGTCATACTTGGTCCCACTTCTGAGAAATAATTTCTCAGCTTTTGTTGTTGTTGTTGATGCGGCACTTTAACAAATTTCACTGCAATGGAATTAAACAATTGTATGGCAAAGCAACAACATAAAATGTTTTTGTAAGCGTGTGCGCGCTTGTGCTTTGTGTCAACATTGCGCACACATGCTTGGGTCGAACGAATGTAGCTCGTTGTTCGACATGACTGTCCGACGTTTCGCTTCACGTGCTGGGACCTTCTTCAGGATCCGAACTGAGAGTCTCACCGTGGTCTCCCTCAATGATTATAAAGCGTTGCCGTCTGCTGATGCTCGTGCCTGATGCAGACC